TGAAGATGATGAAAATACAATAAACAAAATTGAAGAAGAATTTTATATATTAGAAGAAGATGAAATTAGCAATATTCCGATTGAGAGTGAATCATTAATAATTGGTAATACGATGGATTTAAATTTACCAAATTTATAGTACAACCTTTAAATAATATTGATATTAGCTCTGAATCTTTTGAAGATAAATTTATCGAAGACAAAATTAATATAAGTCATAGCAATGTAGACTTCGATGTTGATGCTTTGGTGGATAGCTTTGATATTTAAACATCGTTCAATAATTATAAATAAATGCAGTAGTTATAAAATAGTTGCAATTTGCTAAAAAGTATTTATGTTTATATACATAACATAACTATGTAATTTCAGCTAAAATTTTAATATTCATAATGCTTTTTATATATTTAAATTGCAGTTTCATATAGATTTTAGTTTCAGCTTTAAGTTGTAATAGTTTCAGCTCTATTTCTACTAAAAATTTAATAATAAATAATTTCGGCAAACCACAGTTGGTTTCTACTATATATAACTTCTATATATTTAATTCCAGCTTTTAATTTAGGTTACGGCATTTATTTTGGCTTTAGGTATTGGTTATTAGTTTTGGTATTAATTACGGCTTACGGCTCTATTTTTACTAAAAAATTGATGTCAAAATAGTTTTGGCATAACCAAAACTAGTTTCTACGACATGTATAGTTACTACATATAAATTTAAAAAAATTATTTCCATGTCTAAGGAATGAGTTATACGCTAGTTTACGATATAAAACAGAACTTTTTCTGTACAGCTAACATCTATGAAATTCAGAAAAAAAACTGATCATAGTCGAATTTAAACAATAAATAAGACAAACATAGAATCATTTCTTATAGTGGTTAAATAAATATTTCCCTGATCAAATTCGATAAAAATTTATCTGTATTCAGAGTTAAATAAAAAAATTTCATCAATTTAGGTCTTGTAGTTATTGAGAAATTTTCGTTTAAGCCTTTGCACCCTAAAGACATACAGTAATATTTTTAGACAATTGCCAAAAAAAATTATATAAAATCTTTATTTTAAATTTAACTGAGTAGTCATCGTGAAATTTTCGGTCAAAAATTAGAAAAAATTAAATTAAAAAAAAGATTGTTAAAATATACGTATAGAGTGTGGTTCATGCGCGAGATACTGATATCATCTTCACGTAAATTATTCATATTATACGAAATAAAGTTTTGATGAACATCTTAACAACCAATAATTTGTTCAACTCAAATATTTTTCGATGAAAATAATTTGATGAACTCCAAAATTTCGTCCTGTGTGGATTCATCTCGTATTTCACGCGTAATCGTATGATGTTCAAATATGTGCTACATCTCTAAGTATAATCATCGATCTGCTGCTCATTTTTTGTGCACCAAAATATTGACTGTAAATGTACGTACGTACATATAAACAAGTTGCCAATATTTCCTAAAATTATTAGCTTTACTAATGTGTATACGTAAATACTTTATGGAAGTCGATGATTTACTTAAGAAATTCTCGGAATATTTATAAAATTCTAAAACTTCAATCAGCTTATTGGTGCGACATAAATAAAAGTGAATGTTCATGCTCTAGTTGGAACCTAGTTATGCACTTTTTTTCTTTCTTTCATTTTAATCATATAGTAATGATGATTAATTTTATAAATATTATAATTACCAACCTTCCGACTATAATTACTTTATTAGTACTTTTTTATATAATCAAATATTATTATGAATATTTTACTAGAGTGAATCCGCTTCCCGGTCCATTTCCTTGGGTGCCAATTCTAGGAAATACTCTAGATGTGATCAAATATAAGTTAAACATAACAGAGTATTTAAAAGACATTCAATTGAAATATGGTGATTTTTGTGAAGTTCACTTTGGTCCTAAACGAATTATTATAGTTTCAAATAGTGATGTGGCATATCCAATTCATGCCTCTACAGTGACTCTTAATAATAAATTCTTATATCGTGATTCAGAAAATCCCGGAATGCATGAAATCGGAATGGAAAATTGCGGAATAGTTAGTAATCGAAATTTGGATGAATGGAAAATCAATCGAGAGTTCTTCATAAGAGTGGCAATGTCAAAAAAATTTTTAAAAATGCTTACAGAAAAAACATATGAAAAGACTACAGATATGTTTAAATTATGGGACATAATGATAAATGACAAGAGAGAAATTGATTTGTCTAAATGGACAGAAAAGTTTTCTGGAGATATAGCGGTCTCAACATCGACTGGACTATCTGCTTATTCAATATTTTCTTATTTTAAGTCACTAGGATATGATCATAATCACAATTATATACCAACTACTGAATGGGAACAATCTTCAAAATTACTTTATCTCGTTGGTTCCTTTTTTAAAATAGCACAATGTAATAATTTTTATGTGTCATTTATTGCAAATCAGTCATTATAATTAAAATCTTTAATATTTATTTTGTTTTTTTTTAAATCAAGGGTTCGTTTATATCCCACCTTCAATAAGGCATGCTCCTGGCATAAACTACTTTGACAACAGGTTTTTAAATGTTATAAAAAAGTTCGAAGTCTTTATAGTTGAGTTAATTCGAAGAAGACGTGCGAAAATTGATGGGTTATCCGACGATGCTTTACTGCCGTCCGACTTTTTGACATTGCTCCTTACAATCAATACACCACGAGATCAAGAACGTTCCTTATACAAGTCATTAAACAGATCGTTGAATGATCATGAAATTTTTGGTGTTATTAGAGATATTTTCTTGGGTTCTATTGAAACAGTAACTAAATATCTTATTTTATTGTTTGTAATAGTATTACTAGTATTCATAATATTAAAATGTTAACTATTTTAATTCATAAAAGGTTACGACTGCAATGTGTTTAGTGTTTTATTATATATGCAAATATCCTTCTGTAAAATATAAAGCACTTTCTGAGATCAACGAGAAATTCGGCCATTCAATCGCTTTAAATTCTCTTTATGAAGATATAGAAAAACTACCATATTGTGAAGCTTTAATTAAAGAAGCACTTCGCTTAAACTCACCATTGCCATATCTACCACGGTCAAATTCCGAACCCGCAGAAGTTGGTGGATATTTATGGAAAGAGGGACAAACATTTATTTTACATTATCAGAGAATAAGTATTAACAAAGATGATTGGGTTGATGCTGATGTTTTTGATCCTGAAAGGTTTTTGAAGAATGAGAATAGTAAGCGATCAATTAATGCTAAAGAAGCTAATAATAAAAAAGCGTTTGCAACATTTGGTGGTGGTGCTAGGATTTGTCCGGTTTGTATTAGTAAAAGCTATAATTTACATAAATTATTAAATAAATTTTATAAGTTACTTATTTATATAATCTACATTAACAGGGAAAGCTCTGGGCGCTAATTGAAATAAAAGTACTTTTAGTGGCAGTCTTAATGAGATATGACATGGAATTTGTAAATAAAGATCAAGAATTGGACTTATTTTGTGATTCATCTTATCATTGGCGAGAACTTAGAATCCGTTTAAGACCTAGAATACAGGAAGAATAGCTTAAACTGTAATTGAACTAGAATTCATTCATCTTATCCTCAAATAATTCGGCTCTAAAGTTGAAATTTTTTATAAAATATCAACATCTCTTTTTCCATTGCTGTGCTGCTATGTATGACATCATAAAAATGTGTAGGTTTGCTATGTAGTAATTAGCACAGTAATCTACAATGTTGATAATGTTAGAGTAAGGCTTAGGGCAAAACGTGCTATAGGGAAATAATAATTTCACAAAATATAAACTAAATTTATATATTACATATGTGCTTATTTTGTTAAAATATTTTTTTATCGTCTCGTAAATTATTCGTCTTTTTACAACTTCTATCTATAAATAAGATATCTACGAACTGGTTGACTACGAAACGGTCATATATTACTTCATGTTAAGTAGTTAACCGGTTAGAAGAGTAATGCTAAGCTTTCGCTATGATTTGTACTCGCTTGGCTTATTTACGATGACTGATGTATCGCAATTAGACTTCAAAGAGAGGACCACTACAATAATTGCGTACGAAGACAATTCTGTTTTCTCTATCTAAATGTGCATTACTCGATACGTTACGCCAATCGATGATGACATTCCAGGATAACGAATTATCCCATGATACTACACAATATATGCATAATATTCGAGCTCTTGTTTACTTAGAATTTAAAATCACTAATTTGTGTAAATTCATTTTTTTATTGAACATTGTCATTTTGTCTTTCGCCAGTTTTTAAGCCCATCACGCAAAAATAGTTTCGCCTAACAAATATAATTTCAACAGTAAATGGGTTCGCAATTTGATCGTAGATGTGGGTTAATAGTTTTGACAATGGGTTATAATGATCAGTAAGGTGTGGTTTTGCTCACGATTTTGTAGCAATTTCAACATCACGTGAGTTATAACATGTAGGTGTGTAATTTCAATAGCAGGAAGTTCATGATTCAATCGTGAAGCGTGTTCACTATTTAATAGTAAAGAAATTAACAGCAGGGTCGTCATTTCATTTTCATATGTGTTTCAATACAATATTTTACTGATTTATCTGTCTGCATAATCAAACCTTTGGCAGTTTGGTTGGTTATATATATGTTACTACATATAAATTTAAAAAAATTTATTTCCATGTCGAAGGAATGAGTTATGCGCTAGTTTACGATATAAAGCAGAACCTTTTCTGTTCAGCTAACATCTATGAAATTCGAAAAAAAACCGATCATAGCCAAATTTAAACAATAAAACAAACATAAAATCATTTCTTGTATTGATTAAATAAATATTTCCCTGATAAAAATTTTATTTATATTCTACAAATTGTAGATTTGAATAAAAAATTTAATCAAATTAGGTCTTGTAGTTATTGAGAAATTTTAGTTTAAGCCTTTGCATCCTAAAGACATACAGTAATATTTTTAGACAACTGCCAAAAAAAATTAGATAAAATCTTTATTTTAAATTTAACTGAGTATTTATCGAGAAACTTTCGGTCAAAAAATTAGAAAAAATTAAATTAATAAAAAAGATTGTTACAATATACGTATAGAGTGTGCTTCACGCGCGAGATACTGATATCATTTTCACGTAAATTAATCTTATATTATACGAAATAAATTTTTGGTATTGAATATCTTAACAACCAATAATTTATTCAACTCAAATATTTTTCGATAAAAAAAATTTAAAAGGCTGCAATTAAAAAATTAATTTGATGAACTCCAAAATTTCGTCTTGTAAGAATTCATCTCGTATTTCACGCGAGATCATATGATGTTCGAAATATAGGCTACATCTCTAAGTATAATCATTGATCTGCTGTTCATTTTTTGTACACTTAGTTCAACGAAATATTGACCGTAAATCTATGCACAAGCCATCTAAAATAAAAAATATTCCTTAAATGTACGTACGTACAGTCGGCTCCAAAAGTATGTCACGATTAGAGATGGGACACTGCGCAGGCTGCGCAGAACTTCACTGCAGTGCAATTTTCATAATTCGGGCCAGATGGCATAATTCCGGTCAACTTTATAATCCAGATTGAATTAACCAATCGGAAATCATTCCGTATCGGCCCTAAAAGAAAAACAAATCTGCATCACCTGTTCATAATTCTGGTCAAAGTTGCAGATCATTTGACCACATTTAAAGTTGTTTTGTTCTAGATCTGGCCAAATGATCTGCAAATTTGACCAGAATTATTGACACTGATATGCAGAAAACGAAAACTGACGTCTAAACTAACTTTGGAGCACCGATTAAAAACGGTGGGAGCTTAACTTTACGCATATAAAGTAGATGTTTTATATATATAAACACGAAACCTAATGAGCAAAAGTCTCTAGAGATTGATGCTGCGCAGTAGATTCAAAAATCCTCGATTTTCCCATCTCTAGTCACGATTACACAAAAATAATATACAAATCAACAATAAAATATTACAACTGATTCTTGATATAAAAAAATCACGAGGTCCAGCCAAAAACTTTCTTATGTCGAAACTTTCTTATATCAAAGACTTAAAATTTTTCAAATGGAACTTGTAAAATCTTTTTTATGCCGAGAGTTTCTTATGTCGAAGGTTTTCTATTGACGACCTTAAACGGCGAGTCAGTCGTTTCGCAATCGGATACCTCGCGTAACCTACGAATCGGCTTAGTCAAAAATAGGCGGTTATATTTGGCAAGTGTGTTTAAGTTCGTAGGTATGTCTTCTTTCTTCCTGCTTGTCTTACGGCTTACTAACACACTAACTCTTGTTTCTCTTGTATCTACTATCTACTATTATTATAACCACTGCTGCTACCTTCCACTTGGACCTCAAACCGGAATATGATAACCTCAACTATCCACGGTACGTTGGGAGAGTTGGAAACAACCACGGTAGTTCTTAGTAAGTCAAGAATCACCAGACAGGGTAACGGTATACTTTACGATATCACGTGAGCTAGATTACAAGAGCGTCTATCATACCACTTATGCCACTTAAGCAGTAGATCGTGATGTAAGTATTTATTTATAATGTAGGGAACATGTAATTATAAGGAGATGATATTATTTTAATCACGAATGACTTACTTCCTTGTCTCTAGGTGAAACACCTTTATTATATACTTTCATTTACATAGGACATATTATACATCTTACCTGTGATGTATTACCTATACTTATTATTCTACTTATACTGATTATAATGTTTATACTGATTATTATAATTATATCCTTTATCCCACTGATTCCCTTATTATACTAATATCTATATAAAAAAGGTTAGGTGTATTATTTCATTTTTTAAACCATATATTCTGTGATATTGTTTATTATCATTAGTACTAAAATGTTATATATATGTTACAGTAATTACAACATATATCATAATGATTAACTGCTAAAAGATGAAATCTATATAATAGTAATAATTATGAAATATGTTTAATGTTATTAATAGAAGAATTTAATATAAATGTACAAATAACAATTATAACTTTTGACAAAAAATAAATTTGAGAAAATCTTCAAAAGTGACATCATTAATGTTGAGTTAAATTATCCCTTACACATTTTATATTATACATGAAACATAATCATACTGATATTATAAATATATACCTCATATTTTGTAGAATACTTATTATTAGAGTTATTTTCTAAAAGATTTCAAATATCATTATTCATTTCTTCAATATTGATTATTTGATTTGTGAAATCTTGAAAATATGAATGTTTTTGCGAAATATGTTGAGTTAATGTATAAGATTTTATAAAATCTTAATTATAATACTTGCATTGCTAATACATTTTAGAAGAAAAAATAAATAAAAAAAAAAGAAAACCAAAGTATAAAAATAATAAAGAATATATTACTTGTAAAGATGTAAATAATAATAATAGCTAATCATCTAACTCTTTCTGTAAATTACTAAAACCAAATTTTTTCTAACAAACAATTCAACTTTTATTAATATATTACTAAATTAACAGTTCTTAAACTTCTAATTAAATTTTTTTCTTACAATTTTCTGTTCTAAAAACAATACAAATTTATTCATATTTAATCTTTCGATACAACAAACTCTTATATTTTAATAAAATTATCTCTATTTATATTTTTTTAAATTTCTTTAATTTATACTTAATTAAGCTTTTTTATTTTCAAGTTAACTAAGTATACCAAACTTTCTGCTTCTAACTGTACTAATTTTATCAAATTTTAACTATTATATTACATACCAACTAATATTTTCTAAAAATAGATTTCTTAATTTCTATTAAATTTTATTAAGTAAACTTATTTTCTTTTATTAAATAAAAATATCTAGCTAATTAAACAATTATTTCAATATAAATTTTATCTTTAATAGACTAAAATTTATTAAGTTATCAATATTTTTCTTTTAATCTTTATTCAAACTTTTTTCTAAAATTCTATTAATCAATTTCAGAAAATTTACAATGTTACCTAAGAAATTTCACTTTTTATCAATCTTGAAATATCCAAATATCTAACATTTTTTCAAATTTCTTCAAAGAAACCCGAAAAATTTATTGACTCTTTAGAAAATTTATTGCTAATTTCAAAACACTCAATTTTTTTACCTAATTCTTATTTTTTTTATCTGCTCTTTTTTGTTATCTATATTATAAAACACTTTATCCATACTATAAATTACTTAAAAAATTTTTTTTATATCTCTATTCTAAACTATTTACAACTTTAAACATCTTTTTATTATTATTATTACTTATAATTCTAAAATGAATCTATAAACTACAACCTAATAAGATCATCTTTTAGACTGGTTTAAAAACTATTTTATTTCAAAAAACTCTTTTTTATCTATATGTATAATATTTGAAATTCAAATATTAGATTTTTTAAAACTAATCCTTAAAGATTTCTATTCTGGTTTAATTATTAATTTTATAATAATTAACAAACCAGCTATAAAAAATAATTTTAGTTTATTAATTCAAACTATAGCAACTAAAAAACCTAAATTTATTATAGACATAATTCTAAACAAAAATCTATATATTACTAAAATAACCAAAATAACTTAAAAATTTTTCTCAATACAATAAAAAACTAACTTATCAAATTTACTTATACTCTTTTTTATAAAATAAATTACAAATAATTTTTTAACTTACACTATTTTATTCCTTCTTATTTAATTAAAAAATAATTTCAAGTTGCTACAAACTTTGCCATACTTTATTTATTCCTATATAACAAATATTAAATTATTAATCATCAAAAATTCTTTTATGATTTATAACTTAAACCCATCTAGTTAAAAATCTTTATATATATAAATCATATTTCAAATATTTTGAAAAGCAATACTCCTATTTTACAAATTCATAATATCTCTAAATTCTATATCAATATTATTATAAATATCTTTTTTTAAGAATTTAATATAAATTATCATATTCTATCTTTTTATTTAATCAAATTACAATTAGATATCTAGTTTCAAAAATTTTTTACAAATTACAAAAAAGAATTTAATAATATCAATAAATAAAAAATTTACAACTATATCAAATACCAAATAATAATAGTAACTAATAATGAATACAAAAAGCTAATTCTTTAAAAACTTGAACTACCAAATATCTGATTCATTTAAGAATGAACAAACTATGTTACTAAAACAGCAATACACCATATATACATCTGTACCAATCTGAAAAAATGTAAAATTC